AAACATAAAAAATAATACTTATTCCGTCCCCAATTTGATTACAATTTTTTTTCTCTTCTCTCGATAATTTGTCTGTTTATGCGATTTTATTAAGTATTTGATAAAATAAAATATTCTTGACACATCTTGTTTTGTAAAACTTTTGACATTATTTTGTAATATTTAATTTTTATTTTTTTTATCTAAATACCAATTTGTAAATAAAATAATTTCAAAAAGTAAAATATCTTTTCTCGTAAACTCTAAATTGTAATCAAATTGGGGACAGAGAGAGTAATAAAGAACAATGATAGATAACTTTGCAATTAAATCAACACTTAGGATGGCGACATTATTGCAGAAATGGGTTTATTCAGACTCCGACATTTACCTTGCATTGAATGTTAAAACTAAATTTTGAAAATAGATATGTCCCCCCTCTCCGTTGGAAGTCATTAAAAATACTCACTCGTATATGTTTAAATTTAATAAATGGTTTAAGTAAATTTAAAACGCCTTACTTGTTTAAGGCACTTTTTTTAAAAAAAATTTTAAGAACATTAAATGCCCATGAATTTGCTTCAGGGAGGGGTAGGGGACTGGGGAGGGATAAGGTCTCGTTCCGTTCAACTTAATTTTTCTGTTTTTTTCTTATTTTTATTAAAATCAAATCAGATCTGATCCAATCAAAAATTATTATTATTATTGTTGTTGTTGTTGTTGTTGTTATTATTATTATTATTCTTAAAAATGAAAAAGAATAAACTTTAGAAACAAGATAAATAGAAAACTTGAAAAGTAGTCTTTAATTATTAGACGTCGGAAAAATTATTTTTAAAATACACTGTCAATGTCAATCTAATTCTACTTTTAAAATGGATTTTTATTGCTACCTATAATTTGAGTTTCTAAAGTTTTGATCTTTACTACATCGAGTTGACCAACTTTGATCATGACTTAAATAAAATTAACATTTGATATTCATATACGAAGTATATTTTAGTGTAACTAAAATAACTATTATATCTATGGTGTTATATTAATCATTAAAAAAGTTTTGTAGTACAAAACACACGTTTATATTTTATAAGGATGAGATATTTTAGTAAAAATACTACTCTTTTCTCTATATTGATAATCTAAATTTAATTACTTATATATATATATATATATATATATATATATGAATTAAATATTTATTCTAATGTATATATGAACTAATTATTAAAATATTAAATCAATATTCTTATTTCATAAAAAAATAATCATAAAATAAAAAATATTATTACATTATAATATGAATGATTATTCTAATGTATGAATTAGCTAATTTTATTTTATTAAAAAATAATCATAAAATAAAAAATATTGATTATATTATAATATGAATTATTATTACAATTTTCAAACGTTATTATAAAGTAAAATCAAATTATTGATTTGAATTTTAACTCAAAACATAATTAATCAGATCAGATCCAATTAGATCGGATCAGATCCAATCAGATCAGATCAGATCCAATCAAATCCAATTAGATTCAATAAGATCAGATCAGATTCAATCAGATCAGATGAGACTAGATCAGATCAGAACTACAAAAAATTAGATCAAATAAAAAATAAGTTGAACGGAACGAAGTCTAAATGTAAGTGGCCGTGTGGGGGTGTAGAGTAAATGCCCTTAAACTAATTCTACATAACACAATTGGATATTTGGATATATATGACCCACAAATATAAAGAATACAAATTTACCAATTGCTCAAAGTATGAGTAAATTTTCATAATTGGTCCTTTATAATAAGAAAGTTTTCCTATTAAATTTTCTATTATCAAATATTACCTCGGTGGTTCTTCTTTTATGTGATTTTCCATAAATAGTCTTTTTTATCTTCTATCATGTATGTTATTGTTAATTTGAGTGCTAAAAATATAATTTCACAATGATAATATATATCTTTCTTATCATACACAATTCCAAAGTCCGCTCTTGATGTATCGTTTGTGAATTATAGTCACTTTCTACTACAACTATAGTCTACAGATCTGATCTTTCGTCGGAATCCTATCCCCCAATCATAGTCATTATTTTTATGTTATTTGTCTAACTAATATCAGAATACGTCACTGGACAAAAAATTGATGTCAAATTTTACTTTTAGTCATTGAATTAATACCAAATTGCAAAAATTAAAAAAGAACCATTTGTGAAAAGACATCTATAAAAGGATTATGGAGATAATGTTTGATAATAGAGAACTAAATATGAAAACTCTCCTGTAAATTTGTAATAAAGAGCCAATTATGGAATTTACTCGCAAATTACTAACCAAAACCAAATAACCAAAAATTCCTTCTAATTAAATTCACCATCTACTCCTAACTAACAAAGTAAAATGCATATAGTACGCATACATAGTCAAAATTAGAAAACTACTATACAGATTGTTGTCTATAATTCACTACCAAATTAGGGTTCTTTCTAACCTGAAAGTAATTCAGTAGATTCCTAGTTCGAGAGTCGTAGGGCCTGTTTGGGAATATCGTTAGAGATTAGCGTTAGCGTTTTGGATAAGATTTTAACGGTGTAGATTACTTTAAAAACGCTAATGCTAAACGCTGGCCGTAGATAGCCTTTTCAAAACGCTAACGCTAATCTCTAACGCTATTCCCAAACAGGCCCGTAGTCAACAGCAGTACTCAAATTCCTTTCCGCAAATTTCTAATTCCCAATCATAATTATTCACAATTCTCACATTCACTAAATCATTGATAATCTAAGGTTTCAAATTTCTAATTCATAAATATTTTTTCCTTGAAGTCTGAACGATAAAGCTCTCTGGCGGTAAATACAAGCCTAATACTTCTTATTTTAACAAGAACTCAAGCTCCAAATATCATACTTTTATATTTCAAGTGTGTTTACTCTTTTATTCTTAATTCCTCATATTTTGGCTATTTTAAAAACCTCATTTTCTTGATTTTTATACGCACACTTTAGAGCTTGTGTTTTAGTTATATACTCTCATATTCATAAGTTTATATTGTATTTTTGAGAGAGTATAATTTCCGTCTACACTGGCTAAGTTTTGTTCTTCATTTTTATATTTAAGCCATTGCGTAGAACCTTTGATTGTGTTCTTCAAGCACATCTTTTTACGGTCGAGAATAGCCGTTAAATTCTCACGTTGTAACAGTCAAGGATAGCCGTATAAATCCTTGGGTAGAGGTTTAAGGATAGCCTTTGAAATCCTTGGGGGAACGGTATAAAATAGCCGTTAAATCTTTGTTGTAAACGGTTCGAGATAGCCGTTGTGTAATCTCAAAGTGAATCCTATTGGCAAGGATTGTTTGCCAAACTAGTGCGGTGCTTTGATGGAGTTCAAGAGACTGGGACTTAGGTTATGTTCCGTACGCCTGATCTGAATTTTTGAAGTTCTGATTTGATCTGATTTGATTGGGTCTGATCTAATCTGATTGAATCTGATATTATCTAATCTGATTGGCTCTGTCTAATCTAATTAGGTTTGATCTAATTGGGTCTGATTTAATCTAATTAGATCTGATTGAATCTGATCTAATCTGATTGGATATGATTTTTTCTAGTTAGATCTAGTGTAAATGAATTTAAATCTAATTTAAATTAAACTTAAAATTATTACAAAGTTTGATAGTTTTAAAGTATTACAATTCATATATGCTTAAAAAAATTAAAATAAGAAAATCAGCTAATCATTGATATATTTAAACTTTTTTTGAAATATTAAACATCTTTTCAATAACACTACTTTTTTTTAATTTTTGTGAAAACTAAATAATCGATATAAAAATAACCAAATATTAGAAAATATGAATGTTATTCTACAAAAATATAACATTCTACATGCATATTACATAGTAATATATTTCATGTTACAAATTAAAGATCATATATAATTTTGTCATAAACTCATCCTTGTATATATTAATTCCTTTCACCTCTATTAATTTTGTCATAAACTCACCCTTGTATATATTATACCATCTTAAAGTTTAAAAGTAACTCCTTTTAAGTATAAACCATTTATGGTTTTGAAAACTAAGTTTTTTCTAATCATTTTATAAACAAGTATTTTAAAATAACTCTTTTTAAAGTATGAAAAATACAACTCTTTAAGCTTTAACATTGCTTCCATGCATCATTCCTATCCTACAAGCTAAGCAATTATTTAAAATGATGGTTTTTAGTTAAAATGTAATAATAATAATAATAATAATAATAATAATAATAATAATAATAATATAACAACAACAATAATAATTAAAATTTTAATATTAATTAAGATTTAGGTGTGTGTAGTTTTAAATAAAGTAATGTCATTTAATCAAATACTAGTAGTTGTTATTTAATCCTTGAAAAATATAAATATTATTTTTTATACTTTTTATTGATTTGATATTATTAGATTTGATCGGATCTGATTTGATTGAATCTGGTCTGATCTGATTGGATTAATCTGATCTGATTGGATCTAATCTGATCTTATTGGCATTGTTATGCCTCAAAAAGGATGAACTTGGTTCCTATTTGACTTACTGAATTCAAATTATTGAATTCAAATTCTTTTCCTATGTAATAGAATTTAAAATCTAAAATTGATAAGTTTCGAATTTTAGTTCTTAAATATGAATAAAAGAAATGATTTTTAAGAAAATATTTTCTTTTTGACCAAACAATAGAAGATACAATTGAAAAATAATTTTCCTTAGAAATCATTTTCCTTTGAAACATATTCTTCAAGGGAAATATTATACCCTCAACCAAACACAACCTTAGTACCAATATTATTTTCTTTTTATTATTCATACAACAATGGACATGTATTATTTCTATTTTGTACGAATATTATTTCCTACCCGTATTTTTTAATTATTCATACCCGAAACGATCTCGGCCTGTCTCCATCCATTCCCACCACCCTAAGAGCATAAAAAAAATTTGGGATAAAAAGAACAGAGCATTAAAAAAAACTCATAAACCACTTGTGCACTTCAATCCTGTGGAACAACAAGCAGTATTGTAGTCTCTGTCTATCCCTCCAAATGAAGGATTCCATAACAATAAAACATCCAGTTAAAAATATACTCCATTATTATTTCTAACAAAGCAAAAAATAATAAAAATAAAGAACCCATCCAACATGTATATAGAATAGGTAACTTTGCACTAAAATCAACACTTAGCTAGGATGGTGAAATTACTGCAAAAAAAATGGGTTTCTCCTTCCATTTCTTCGACTCCGACATTTACCTTGCTGTTAAAAGATGCAGTCAGCACAGAACTAAACTGTAAAAAATGAAAATAGATATATTCCCTCTATCCGTTGGATCACATCGTTTCTATTTGTAGATGCTAGTTAAGAATCGCAACTATGAAAATTGAATGAATACTATGGTCTCTCACTTGTGAAGGATAGCAATAACTATTGCCACAATTTTGAAGAGTGAAATGTGAAACATAACTACTACTCCATAATGTTAATACTTAATAGCACATTTGTATAGTTTTGTGAATTGGTGTGTTTTTCTAAACATAATAGAAGTCATCAAAAATAGTCAGTCATATATTTTTAGATTTAACTAAATTTAAAACGCCTAACTTGTTTAGGGTATTTTTATGATGAAAATTTGAATCTTTTTTTTTTCTCAAATCGGACTCTTTTTCGGGATTGAAGCAAATTTAACATATCTCAATCTTTATATACTTACCCAACTCCATTTGGTAGACTCGTTCATTGCTTCTTTAATGCGTTCATTCTATCCCGGAGATAGTACAGCTTTGCCCTTCTCACCTTCTTCTTGTCCACCACCTTTACTTCCTTTATATTGGGTGAGTATCTGAATCAATAAAAAACATGAAACAATAAGACTTGGCCACAAACTTTACCAAGGTAGCTTTACATTACAACATTCCACAGCTGTTGGTAACCAACGCGGGCTGGCACTGACATGACACATTTAATCAGGTAAATCCAATGATTAAAGGCACTGAAGGTGCTATAGCCTCGACCTTTTCAAGTAAAAGAAACTAATTTTGTTATATTTACACTATGTTTGGTTCAAGGAATTTGAAATAGAAAAGAAAAGATGAGAAAGAAAATAATTTTTTATGTTTGGGTAGAGAGGAAAAGAAAAGAAAAGAAAAGTGGAAGGAAAAGGAAATGAGAAGACAAAATATACTAAGAAGATGGAAAATCAAATTCCTTCCATTTTGGTGAGGAAAATGAGAGAAACGAACTGAGGGGAAATCATTTTCTTTTCTTTTCCTTCCAAATTCCTTGAACCAAACATAGTGTTAGTGTTGTTATACAAGAAACTGCCTCAAACAAATTAAGTGTGTCAAATTTAGTTAAACAAAAAAATTGAAACATAGCTGTGTGTGTGTGTGTGTGTTTCAGTGTTGTCAAGTCGTCGCCTATTCGTCCGGCTGTTTTTGCGAGGGAGAATTTCTGTGCGCCTAGCGCCTATGGCCGACTAGGCTATTAAGCACGCAAAGCGTCGCTTAGCCGCGATTAGGCATCGCCTAATCGGTGAAAGAAATCTGCAGAATTTGACCTAATTTAAGTGACCCGGCCCAACCCGACCCGACCCGACCCAAATTTCATTAATTTTTAAATTTTTTTAACAAAACGCTGCCTCCTTCGACGCAATCCACCCACAATCGAGTCGCGACTATAGTCTTTCAGTTCCAGGGTGACTTCCGTGACTTCCAAGCTTCCAGCGACTCCTCCATCATCGATTATATTCCATCAGCCTCCATCACCGACTCTCCTCAATGGGTAAGTTTTCTTTTACTTTGTTATCATTAAAGTATTTCTTTTAATTTTTCAGTTTAAGATTTCTTTTAATTTTTTTCTTATTCTACAGTTTCTACTATTTTAGTATTTCAATTTTATTTTCAGTTTAATATTTCAATTTTTTTCTAAATTCAATTAATATTTTGGTTTTGTATTTCTTATTTTAATATTTTAAGGGTTCTAGGCTCTTGTTTTTGTTTAGTTGCTAGAATGTCATATTCACCAATTTGATTTAATAATTATTTCAGAACAAATGAGAGATAATAATATCTGCGACTACGAAGACGATCCATCCAAGGACCCCAAACGAAAAGCCAGCTCTAATGATCCCGGATGGAAATATGGTTTTTGGCCAAATATGAACAACAAAAATCTGGTGGAGTGTACATTATGATATTTTGACATATAAATGTATATATATTCATGTTGGGTTAGTGTAGATATATATAATGTTAAAAATTTCAATACTAATTATGATTTGTCGACTAGTCTACGACTAGTCGCCTAGTCCACTAGTCTCCCCGTCACCGACTCGACTCGACATGTCGACTTGACAACCATGGTGTGTTTCACAGTTCACACAGGTGTACGTTTGTACCATACTACAATTTAGAGATTATACATTTGTGACAAGACTCTTTTTATGAAACGGAAGGAATACGATTTTTAAAATAAAACAATAAACTAAAGCACCAAGCTACTGGAGGCCCAACCACCAACTAGTGATTCTTGCAACATTGGAACAAATGGAGTGCTAGTTTTATACTCCCTCTGTCCAAAACTAGCTATCCACATTCTAAAAGCTCTCATTAAGTTAAAATGGGTCCTTCAAAGAAGTTTGTCACTCATTCATGTCAACAATGTCCATGCCTCATCTCTAGGATAGTTTAGAGTTTAGACAACTCATCATGATTTCTCAATTGAATACACAAATTGGACAACTAAATCCGGATAGGGAGAGTATTCGACAAGACTACAAGTGCAACACTAAATAGTAAATATTGTGGTGTCAGCATATTCTTTTCTTCTTTTGTAACATGTTTTTTTATATGAAAAAAGGAAGAAAATAAAAAAAACAAGTTAGTTCCACTTACAGATGAAAGACGGATTCAACACCAACCCCTGCCACGAGCCTTCTTAATCTGAATGTGGTATTCAACCCAGCATTTCGTCTGGCTATCACAATTCCTTTTATAATTGAAACACGTCTCTTGTTTTCAGGTACTTCCTGATATACAAGCATGAACAATAGCAAGTTATTTGGCAAGAGCAACAACGAGACTAAGACCATATAAAACAAGGTTCAAAAGATGATATTCAGAAAAATATATTATGACAAGCAATAGAACAATTGAAAGAAAAAAAATCATAAGCAATAATACCACTTTGAGCTGCAAAATATAGCCAGGTCGTATATCGAGTATCTCCCTCTGTGTCTTCACTTCTTCAACTGCCTCTTTATCGAGAATCTGCAATGGCAAGGATCAAAATAAAAAAATTCAAAAACACACAGATTACTATCAATAATCGACAGTACATGTTTTGCTGAAAAATCTCGTACCTGCATTATGTGCTTTGCCGTCTTATCCAGCCTCTTAAACTTAATACGTGGAGTCACCAGAGAGTTAGAAGCTGAAGCATCTTGAGAAACGGTATCCCCTAATGACCCAATGGTGGCAACGAATCTTCTTTGAAAACTATGGCCCAATGGGGAGAGTTGTGACAAATAGGAACTAGGACCCTTATGATATGATGTCACTGATGCAATGCCATTTTCCTTTGAATGTACAAGAGACTCTTCTTTAGTTCCAATGCTGTACTAAAAATGCAGCCAGTTTAAAAATAATAATCACCACCCAAGAGTATATCACATGTAGCAACAACAACAACAACAACCCAGGTGAATCCGACTTCAGTAGGGTCTGGGGAAGGTGTGTACGCAGACCTTGCCCCTACTCGGAAGTAGGGAGGCCGTTTCCAAGAGACCCCCGGCTCCACCTGCACAAAAATATGGAAGGGAACACAGTATAACACGGATAAAGCACCAAGTACAAGCAACCAGTACAAGCAATAGTAAAAAATTCCAAACAAACACAACACTACAAAACAACCTCTACAGCACCGAGCTCCTATCCAGCTACTCTAATCCTAGTTCTCCAAAGGTTCCTATCTAAGGCCATGTCCTCAGTCAGGGTGAGAAGTCCTATATCCTGCCTAATCACCTCCTTTCAATTCTTCCAAGGTCTACCTCTTCCCCTACTTCCCCCGATAACCGTAATCCTCTCGCATCTCCGTACAGGGGCGTCAGCATCCCGCCGTCTCACATGACCAAACCATCTCAACCTCGCTTCCCGCAACTTATCTTCCAACGGCGCCAAGCCTACCTAACGTCGGATAACTTCGTTCAAAATCCTATCCAACCTTGTCTTCCCACACATCCATCGTAACATCCGCATCTCCGCCGCATGCAGACGACGCACATGAGTCTTCTTAACCGCCCAACACTCTGCCCCATATAACATAGCAGGTCTGACTACGGATCGATAGAACTTACCTTTCATCCTGGGCGAAATCTTCGGATCACACAACACCCCTGAAGCTAACCGCCATTTGGCCCAAGCCACTCCAACACATAGTTATCTAGGCGTCGCCTAGGCGACGCTTAGGCGTCTGGGCGAGGCTATGTGGATGCCTAGTTGGTCGCCTAGCTTTTTTATTCCCTGGACGACTTATTGATTATCTCGGAGACGCATCTACGCTTTAGAAGAGCAAGGAAACGCGCGGGATAGAGAGAGAAGACGGAGGATAAGATAGAATGAAGACTTATCTATCTCGTCTATCATTTGTCGCAGTCTGCAAAGGCTTCCAGCGGCTCCAGTCTCTGCAGCGACTCCCTGTGTCTTTCTAACTCTCTATCATCCATAGTTATTAAAGGCGCTCGCCTCTCTCGCCTATGGCGCCTCAGGCGACCAGGCGAGCTCTCAGCGCCTCAAGGAAGCAAGGCGAGGCGAGATCCCTAAGGCGTGCCTAAGGCGGTCGCCTTTCACGCCTCAATCACTGCCTCAGGCGTTCGCCTAGCTTGCCTTTCTCGCCTCAATCACTGCCTTAAGGCTTTAGGGTATACAATGCATAATATTTATTGCTATATATTACTCCATAATATATATACACATATATATACATATACATATACATACATACATACATACATACATATATAGTATCAATATTATGTGTTTATACATACATAGATGTGTGTGTGTGCGTGTGTATATGTATATGTATGTATGCATGCATGCATGCGTGTTCGCCATTTGACCGCCCGCCTCTCGCCATAAAAAAGGTCCTCTCGCCCGCCCCTCGCCACTCGCCATTAATAACTATGCTATCATCTATCACTTAACTAGTGGACTAGGTCAAATAATTGGGCTAGGTTCATTAAAAGACTACTGGACCTTTAAACAAGAATATATATATATATATATATATATATATATATATATATAAAGGTGGTAATACCACCTTTATGAAATCGAGTATGATACTATATATATCATATTATATGCTTTAACATTAGTACCTATAAAATTTTTATAGGTATCACTGTTCATTTTAATTAATTGTGTCATATTATATGCTTTAACATTAGCACCTATAAAATTTTTATGGTCGCCAAACCCACTCGCCCAGCGGACGCCTAGGCGGGCGCCTAATCGCCTAGGCGATTAGAAGGTGCTCTAGCGCCCAGCATCGCCTAGCCGCCGTAACAACTATGCTCTAACACGATGTCCAACATCCCCATCTAACTCCCCATCAGCCTGGATTACCGAGAAAGACTCTGAGTCACCCCCGAAAGTCCTTACCCTGGTCATAGCCCCATCGTACATATCCTTGATCGCGCGAGTGTACACGATGGGAACTCCTCTCGTCTCAAGGCACCTCCATAAGACCTCCCTTGGCACCCTATTGTACGCCTTCTCAAGGTCAATAAACACCATATGAAGGTCCTTCTTCCTAGCCCTATACTCTTCCATTAACCTCCTCACGAGATGAATGGCCTCTGTAGTCGATCTGCCATGCATGAAACCAAACTGGTTCTCAGAGATGCAAACCCCTTTCCGCACCCTATACTCAATGATTCGCTCCCAAACCTTTATGGTGTGGCTAAGCAGTTTGATACCTCTGTAATTCTCGCAGCTCTGAATGTCACCTTTGCCTTTAAACAGAGGGACCAAGAAACTCTCCCTCCACTCAGCAGGCATCCTTGCTGTTCGGAGGATAACATTGAAGAGTTTGGTTAACCAAACCCACGCACCACAACCCGCATGCTTCCAAAACTCCACCAGAATCTCATCTGGTCCCAAAGCTCTCCCACTACGCATCCCGCGGAGAGTCCGAACTACCTCTTCCACGTAAATGCGTCGGAAATACACACGAGACGCCCTGGGCTGCCCCAACTCATTAAGAACTAGCCTCTGGTCTCCTCCCGCATTTAAGAGTTCACTAAAGTACTCCCCCCAGCGTTTAGCCACCTTGGCAGTTTCAATTAACACTCTACCATCGCTGCCCTTCACGCATCTCACATGATCCAGATCTCGGGCCTTCCTCTCACGCACCTTAGCAAGCCGGAATAGGGGATTAACACTACCTTTCTCATCAATATCCTTGTAGAGGCGTTCAAAAGCGACATTCCCCCTTAGCTTCTTTGCGTGCCTTCTTGTATTCCACTCGTAACGCCACTCTTTCCTCCTCAACATTACAGCTCATGTACCTCAAATACGCCACCTTCATAGCTTCCACCTTACTTCGGACTGAATCGCTCCACCACCAATCACCCTAACGCCTACTCCCAGAGCCAGAGCTCACACCTAACACTTCCCTGGTTGTTTCCCTGATGCAATTAGCAGTCCGCGCCCACATATCAGTACTCAATAGCCTCTCCGGTTGATTCCCACGCACCTTTCTCCTGTACTCGCCTGATCAACTAAGAGATTTTCTCCCCACTTAGTCTCTTCCACCGGATTTGTGTGTTGCCACTCGAAGCTCTCCTATGTTTCAACCACCTGATCATGACATCCATCACTAGAAGCTTGTGTTGGGTAGTGACGTTTTCACTCGGAATTACTTTAGCATCCTTGCAGAGCACCCGATCACACCTGCGCAGGAGAAGATAGTCGATCTGTGTCGTCCCCACTCCACTAACAAATGTAGCCAAATGGTCGTCTTGTTTAGGGAAACAAGAGTTAGCAACCACCAAATCACTCGCTCTGGCAAACTCCAAGAGTGAAACTCCCGCTGGGTTCTGCTGCCAAAGCCAAAACCATCGTGCACGTCCTCGAAGCCAACGGCCGATTCTCCAATATGGCCATTGAAGTCGCCTCCAATGACGACTTTCTCAGTTAATGGAAAACCAACAACCACCCCATCCAAGGCGTCCCAAAACTCCCTCTCTACTTCGTTTGCCAAGCCAACATGCGGGGCGTAAGCACTCACGACATTGATCGCACACCCACCCAAAACCAACTTGATAAACATCAGACGATCACTAATCCTCTTCACCTCCACCACAAACTCTCGCAGCTCCGGCGCCACCAGAATGCCGACTCCATTCCTTCCCCTAGCTGAACCTGAATACCACAGTTTGAAACCATCAACCTCTCGCGCCTTAGTGCCCACCCACCTGGTTTCTTGCACGCATGCCACCTGAATCCTTCTCCTCTTGAGAACTTGCACCAACTCAACAGACTTACCTGTGAGGGTCCCTATGTTCCATGATCCGAAACGCACATGTGACACTACACTACCCCTCTGCGACCCTCCTACCCTCGTTCCAACCCCGGGATATGTCCTTAAAGCTACATTGCTAACCCACGCCACTACACCTACACAACAGCACCAAAAAGCAAAGTAGAGACGAAGCTACTAACACAAAAACAGTAGGATACAGACCACTACTAAAGAAGGTAAGAGCAACAATACAAATAACAGTAAAAGAGTATGGTAGTAGCACAAAAAGTTAGCAATCAAAGCAACACCTTAACACACAGTAGAGCAATAACAGCAATCAAATCACAAATCACATAAGAGCGATAAAAAAGCAGTAAAAGCAATAAGAGAAGGTTTGGGGCAGGGAAGGCCGGTGACGGAGCAAGGGTGGGGGACTGTATCTAGAG